GAAATGGTCAGCTCCGTTCCTCCCCAATACCAGCGGTGTACGCCAGTCCGCAGCCAGCACAGCCCGAGGCCATCAGACGCCGAAGGGTGCTGGCCAGGAATTGCAGAGGGGCGTCGGCCTTTCGCCCTCAGCTAGTCGGACTCTAAACTTCGGGCCACATATGCCCCCCTCTGCAAGATCTTCATATACAGGAATGAAATTTAGGGACTTTTGAAAAAGGTCATTGAGATAAGAGGAGATTAATTCTTAGGTTACCTGAGCTAGAATATTTAAATTCTTTAAATCTTTAGAGCTGTCATGAGAAAATTACAGAGGAGTCGACTCTCAAAATAATGTTCAATGCGATACACATTCTCTTACATTTCCAGTCTGACTTGATATCTGATCTACATAAGCTGTTGTATACAGACATAGCTTTAAGTAACCTTGGAAATTGTCTCTTGAAGCTCCCAACCTCTTCCTCTAAGGCTTAACATCTTCCTTCTGAACACCAAATGCTTGCACTTTTTGGCTTGTGACTTTCACTGTCCGCAGGTTGGAGGAATCGAGATGCCAACACCTGTTAAGTAAGCTAACTAGAAGGTCTCCCTAACCATAAATTCTACATTCAAAGCATAATTCTGGGGCACTCAAGAGCTTTTCAATAAACCATGAATTCAAAAAGAAGTGTTCTTGATCTTATAAGCAATGGTTATGTCAGTCACTGCTGTGCTTGTGTCCCATTGCCTTTGACTTGACTTCTAGCCCAGATGTGGTGACAACATCACCACAGGTATGTTCCTTTGTCCACTGTGTCACTGCAGTGAATCCTGGTCAGACTACCTGGCATAAGCATGTTCTTGTTTATGAATCCATGGCTATGAGAATGTGAGTGAATCCAATTTAGTCTAAAATCAAAATTGTAAATGTAATACACAAGAGCCCTTTGTGTTTGAGAAAGAGGCAGGTGTAACACTGAAAAGGTACTGCAAAGGGAGATAGTAATGCTTCTCTGAGCCTTTTCATTAGTTTGTTAAGTAGAACCAAGACAGAAGGTTTTGGGCAACTGCACTGTCAAAGCTCATTTTCTCACAATTCTCATTTAGCTACATAAAAGTAGAGCACATTTTCTTTTGGGCACTGGCTCACAGTATTTCCGGCACTTTATAACCAAGGCTGTGGTACAGTCTTTATAGTAACACCTTAGATAATGAGTTACAAATTAAATATTTATACAGCTTACCTGGTACTTCAGCAGAAAAAGTATGAAAAATCCATAGCAGAAACTTGTGGAGGCTCTTGCGAAGATGTAGTAGGAGCTGTCATGGTTGAACATGCATACAAGTCATCTAAAGATGGGCAGTCCTGGGGAAAGAAAATGTAGCCTATGGCTCTTATGAAGAAGACCTTTATGAAGAGTTGCTGTCAAATGCTACATAAGGTGTCATAAAATATGTGAGCAAACTTGCTAATCCCAAAGAGCCACAGTGCATGTGTCTCAGATATGTCAAAGCATAAACTAAAACCTGAAATATTTCCAGCACTGGCAAGGCTAGTATAAAAATAAATGTCAACTGGGTCAGCACTGGAGCTCAAGTGTCAGTTTTCCTCAAGGTACTGACTCTAGGGCTGCAAGGCAGCACTAAAGAGGATCCTTTAGGAGTAACTCTTAGTACAACCCCTCCCCCTTTGTACAAAAGGAGAGGTTTTTTATGAAAACTGGAAAATTATTCTGGACTTGGAGTTACGTGTTGAAAACAGACTAAGTTCCTTCATTTTCTGAATCAGATATTAAAAGTACCCTCACCTTGCTAAAAAGACGTTAGCATTACTTTCAAGTAAGACCACATTTTCACATAATGAATTCCATTTTAAGAGGAGAGAGTTGTGAGTCCAGTCAACACGTATATTTGTAGATCTTTTTTATAAAACAGGATCTTTGCTCTTGATTCAATAGAGAACAAGGTAAATGCTTGTAGGCATGTTTAATGCATTATCATTAGTCATGTGGAGAATACAGAGGAGAAACTGACTGGTGCTGTAATGTCTGTGTTCAACTTCTCCTAAGCTCTCTTATCTGTGAGATTGACTGTTTCGTGGTGTGTGTATGTTAAAATTCTTTCCTCACTAGAAATTCAAAGTCACATTAGTGGTCACTTTTGAATAATAACTTGAATGAGCTTAGGTTAAAGTTCATTCCCTGAGGTGTGTTTCTTTTTACAGGGCAACAGAAAAAAACCCCCAAACCTGTAAATGTGTTTGTCTTGTGACTTTAATCTGTATTTATACATTGCATCCTTGTGCCAATGAAAAAACAGAAAGCAAAGACAAATGGTGCCATCACTGTGATGAGGAAGAGGAGCCAGCTCAAAGAAATGAAAAATCTTCCCATTTCTTAATGTGTTTAATCAATATCAGAAGACAGCTATGAAATTATTATTCTTGTAACCAGCTTGTGTTAGTTTCTCATTTCTATTTAGGTGCTGATTAAATATGAATGGTAATTTGTCTATGGATAGTTGAGAATGGAACCTGATTAGCATTCAAGAATATAGGTATGTATTCAATAATATCCATCTCTTGGTTATTAAACAGATGGCTCCTATAGAAGGCTTGCTGACCTCTCCTGGATAAAGACTCCTAAATTATTTGGAATGCTGTATTTGTTAGTGAGAGAAATCTGATCTCCATCACAAGCTGGACTGATCCTTTCATCTGTTACAAACTACATTAAATGAAAATGATTGCTGTAGTCAAGAGCAGAAAATTCCTGTTCCATCTCACAAACCATGTGAAAGAAACTGTGTTTCAAAGCATGACTCAGATAAGGCAGTAATACTGGGTTCAGTTCAGTAAGCTGAGCTTTGTAAGTCAAAGCTTAGAATTACTAACTTTGCTGCCAAGGGTAAGTTCTTACTCTTTTAATTCTGCTGCCCAAAAGGGCTCTATTGGCAGGTACTGGAGAGTTCCTGGGTGGCTTTGCTGGAAACCTTGCAATGTTACAGAAACCACCAGCCACCCAGTCTGCTGCATATGGGACACGAACTGTAATTCCCTGACATTATTGCTGGTCAATTAGAGGTGCACCCCTGTGACTGAGGCCTTGATCTGTGTCTCTGCTGTGCAAGCTCTGACACATGCTCTTGCAGGCTTGCCAATTCTGCACTGAGCTCTGCAGAGACCATCTTCTGCAGGGCTTTCACCAAGGACAATGGGGAGTTGGATTCCTTTCATAGTATGATGTGGGACCACTGTGATCTTGCCAGAGGATTCCTGGGAAGCTGCCAAAAAGACAGCAAAACTTCTTTTATTCCATTCAGAAGGAAAATATCCTGGGATTCTCTACACGGACCACACTAGCAGAGGTCTTTTCAGTAAGTGCCCCCAATCTTTTTAACTTTAAATCCAAGGTTGAGGTGTTAGAATGTACGTGGTTCAAAGATCCTCCT